TCAACCGCCTGTTAATAGACTTTTTTGCCGTATGAGTATACGTTGCCCAGGGTGCACCACGTAGAGGTAAGTCTATCGTACACCCCTCTAAGGACATTTGACTTAATGTTTGTACATTCGTAACTGCCTTACAGATGAGCCATTACTCAGGGTATAATTTTAGCACCACTTGAAATGCGACCTACTGTGGAATAAGATTAGCTCTATTGATTATTTAATATCCCGAAGATCATATGAGAAGTAGCTTGCACTGGTTGTATTTTTATTTTAATCAAATTTCTTAGTTGTCACAAAAACAGCAAAATTCATTCCCAAAATTATTTATTTCATTGGGTCTCGTGCTCTACGGACAAACTCCTGACCCATGATTCCATGACCCTGACGCGATAGACTTACCTCCACGTGGTGCTCCCTGGGCAACGTATACTCATACGGCAAAAAAGTCTATTAACAGGCAGTTGACTTCTGACTTCAAACTATCATGACTCCACTGTATGTCATTTTCGACCACTTCCACAGTACTCATTTTACCTTTTTTCTCTACCTTTGTGTCTGTCTCTTTTACATCCTTTAACCACTCATCCGTTTCTCCCTATCGACTTTTTTCACTTTGATGTTCCTCCTCCCCTCTATGAGGCCCGTAGTCAACTAAAGGGCTAATGATACCTATCAAAACGCCTGCCATTTGAAATTAATTACTTCACTGGGTAAGCACCCAATCCCTTACTTGATTTCCCTATAAACGCTTTAAATATCTACTCAACAAAATCTGGGCTTAGAGCTCAATTCTTATAAGCGCATCAGAAGAATTGAGGTATGGAGATGGACGCGTTAGGATTGGAGAGTGCATATGATTGCTTATGTGGCATTGGCGAAAAGCTGATTCCTTAAAATATAATTAGGGCTAATCGGCGCCGCACCTACAATTTACCGCTGACTAGGCCTCTGAAAGCACGACTGCACTTCCTCCTTGCATATCAGTACTACGGCCGCACCTTACAGACTGTTAAAGCGTGCATACAATTTCATTCTTCAACCTTGGTAACATAATATACTCCATGGTGTTTGTTGAAAACAAATGCTGGGGTCTGGAGAAAACAAAAAATAGTAGAGAAATAAATTAAAATGGGAAATATTTAATTTAATGCAACACCTTAATCACATCTGAGGAATGTACAATCCAAATTTTAGGCCTTCTAAGCTATTTTGCTAAAAAATTATTCGGGTTTAAACATTTATTTTTCAATTTTGCTCCTCTTAAAATCGATTGAGTACAATCAGAAATCACAATGCAAGTGACCTGAAATGGTTTATTTCTTATTAATTTAAATACAGAAGCTGCTGCGCGTAGGAGCTTTAAGTCTGAGCATATTAGTCATAAAAGATATTTAAATTTCTTAATTACTTCCATAAACATTTTTTTATTAATTTAATGAAATGAGAATAGTAGGTATAAAAGTTAAATTGAACAATAAATTTAACTATTAAAATCCCTGGTATCAAGGTGAGGTTCAGAAATGTACTTTAATTTGGCTCATTAAATTCAACTAAGACTTAAAGCATAGTGGGAAGCATTGGAAGGAGAAATAATAACCATTAAAATCGGTAAAAATTGAATTTTTTTATATTTTTATTAGCCTATATCTAGTACGGCATTCATTCATTAAAACCTCAATATTTTCCATTAATCGTGAAATTGTACATAACAATGACTGCAATCATTAAAAATGGATTTTGTTTTGTCATAAACAAAACATATTGAGAAAGACAAGAGAACCCGAGGCAAACGAAGTGACACTTTATAGATTTTCAAGAAACCCTCTAAACACTCTTTTATTTAAATTTGTAAATAAGCAAAGGCCAATGTAGCTTAGTTATTTCGTAATCATAAACAGAAGTAAAATAATTTCCACTGGGATAAAACGTTTCTCGGTACTCTGGAATGTAATTCTGAACTTTTAATTAGTTCTCTTTAATTTGAATGTTTTTTTCCTACAGTTGGAATAAAATTGTATCCCGTTCACATTATTTTTTCAATCTGCTGAATGCAATAAAAAATTTAATTTACTGCAAGTAAAGAGTGTTTTTAAAGTCGATTACGTACAACAGCACTCAATTAGAACAATTAAAAAAATCAATCTTTGAGTGAAATACTTTCCTTAAACATAGATATCACATCATTATAAAGTCATGATATGCTTGCTTTTATCAGCTTTAATTAGAAATCTAGATTCTAGACGAATAACCCTTTTATTTGATCTCATTCGCCAACATTTATTTCTGTTGCGCCTCTAATATACTTGTCATTTTTCACAAATCGATGCCAAGATGGGGTCTAATTGTCTGCATTGGTCTGCATTGTGATATATATTTTATTGAAACCAAATATTATGTTTTATTTATTATTTTGGCAACGATCTCAAAGCCCTCAATCTGGAGTGTTCTGAAGGAGGGAGAGTGTGGGACACGTTTCGCTGTGTGCGTCATCGTATGCCTGCATGTCCGCTCGCCTGTGCGGCCGTACAACTCTGTGTTTAGGGACCGTACAAACAATGACCAATCATCAACCTCTGTTTAACCTAATCCCATACAAACAGTGACCAATCATTAACCTCTGTTTGTTTAACACTAGCCTCTGTTTGTTTGACCTAATCCGCCATCCTGATCATGATTAACCTCTGGCGACCTGGGAGGTGCGACCGTACAAACAGTGACCAATCATTAACCTCTGTTTATCTAATCCCCCATCCTGATCATGAGGTGAATAGCTTGTGTACACACTTTATCTGCAATATACGTCCTGAATAAACGTGTTCCGTGCTACACGTCTGTTTCCTTTATAGCTGGGCCATTGCTTAGCTGTTCTGAGAGTCTAGCTAGATTTAGGAGGATCTGCCATAGAGATTTCTGAGTCAGTCAGGCTTTACTATCGTAGCAATCCGCTGCAAGAGGGAGATGGTCTAATTAATTGCAATATGAAAATTTAGGTTTTGACATAGATCTTGTCAATTTTAACCTACTAGACCTTGAAGCGCCGTACCTTGAGGAAAGTTGTAACGATGCCTCGGAGCATGGCCATTATTGAAAGTGATTAAAACCTATTAATTATTTTGGTAATTATTTAAATTTCTTTATCTATTTCATTTCAAATGTGTTTCATTTCTGAAGAAGTCATCTTTCCAAATCGATTAATTTTAAGGTTGAGTGGTTATGATAGACCCATCTCCAAGTTTTCTGAATCAATATCTCCCCTAATGTGACTAAATTTACCTCTAATAGCTATTCCAAATGTTAACAGATAACATAATCCTAGCAAAACAGATCGATTATCGGTTGGCCTTTAAGGTACACTGAAGGATGCTTTGATTTGATTTGGAATAGCTAGGTCTGTTTGTTATGGAAATTACAAATATCTCGAAGAAGGAATCTTTGAGAAGTGAAATTAAATAACAAAAATTAAGGTAATAATTCACACAAAAATGGTTAGTAAATAGCTTCAATGCATTTGGACAGCTAAAATTACGTGAATTACAGAGGAAATCATGATTTTATGTGGACTATATTCAGGCTGTTTCAGATGTTCCATCTTTATCTTTAGGCTTAAGAGGTGTGTGATAGACTTACCTCCACGTGGTGCACCCTGGGCATCGTATACTCATACGGCAAAAAGTCTATTAACTGGCAGTGGACTTCTGACTTCAAACTACCATCACCCCACTGTATGCCATATTTGACCCCTTCCAAAGTACTCATCTTATCTTTTCTCTACTGTCGACTTCTTCCACAGTACTAACCTCACCTTTTTTCTACCTATTTCTCACTTCAAACTACCATCACCCCACTGTATGTCATATACCTCTGACTTCAAACTACCATCACCCCACTGTATGCCATATTTGACCCCTTCCAAAGTACTCATCTTATCTTTTCTCTGCCTTTTGCCTGTCTCTGTTACATCTGTGAATCATTATTCTGCCCCCCCCCCCTCTCGACTTTTTGTCACTTTGATGTTCCTCCTTCTCTCGGTGAAGCCCGGAGTCAACTTAATGGCTTATGATAACTATCAAAACGCCTGCCATTTGTAATAAATAATAATCTTTACGCTAAAAGATATTAGAGAATTAAATATTATTTCATTTGAAAGTATCTCCTCAGCAAATTGTGATATTGTTTTCAGGCTACATGGATGACACCTTTTGTGATGCCAAATCCGAAAGAAACAATTGATGAAATAGCTAGAGGCCAAGAGATCATATCCTCACCTTCAAGTACAATTTTTAATAACAAATTGTGCAATTACCTTGGAAGATGTTCCTTCAACCGAATTGTGTTAAATAAACGTGGCACGAACGGAAAGCATAGACATAGTTGTAGTAACCTATCTACTCAAATCAATATTAATCCAACCTCTTCGGACTACCACGTCTAGGTAACTTTCAGCAGTGATCGAAAAGAACATTTCAGCTCGCGATCTCCATAAAAATTGCGTCCTCCAAAAGTAGTGTAGCTGAAAATAACGAATTAATTAATTGAAAATTAATATTCAAGTAAGGATTATTTAGTCGGTGTGAAAAAATTATTACAAGCACTACAATTTGAATTCAACTGCTTCTTATCATTTGCAAGCAACAATCATATCAAAATATCCGGTCTTAGAAATGTTTATTTTCCCTCAATAATCCAACCTAATGCAATTCTGGGAGAAGCACTCTTTTCACCAAATTAGGGGGCATTTTTTTCTGAGAACGTTTTCCGCTAACCACGTAAAAGTAGACTCCTAAGTTGCTTATTCCTTAACCAAATGCCTGCGTTCTAAAAGGCGTTTATTCTATTTACCTTTAAAAGTGTATTTGAAAATTCATGAATAGCTTTACATGTACATCCTGTTCTGACCTGTCAGTACATTTGCAAGTGTTTGGAACCAAATCCAACTAATATCACCTACATTAGGCCTTAACCGGCTTCAGAGCGCATTAACACTTATTTGCTATCGATAAAGAATGAGTGACGTGACACATGCACGCCCAAGACAAAGTATAACATCGGAAATCGATAATAAGAGGTAGAGAGGAATTTGCGCTTTACTTTATATTTTAATTGATTTTTCAGGCGGTCCGTAATGTCTTCATTGCTATTTTTATTCGGCGTCTTGGAGGGTGTACTCTCCTTTGCTTTACCCATTATAAATGCATTTGGAAGACCTAGTTACGTCGAACATCAATTGTACTTTGAGGTGAGCTCTGTTTGAGATGCTAACGAACAAGTATATTTGCAAATTTATTCGCCACTAACGAGCATGTCTAAATATCTGATGAATGGGAACTTTGAATAGAATCTAATCACTTGTCAATTCGTGTTTATATAGTTTAAAATTCGTAATTTTCACATTGCCATATAGAGTTTTTGTAAAAATAGAAACAGAATTTGGTAATTATTTAGAGCGAACAAAGATTACTTGGTGCAAATAAATATGCGTTTTTGTCGATGAAATTTGTAAAACAAACTAGTAACCAAATTCTGTCATTCTTAAGTTGAAATTAAATTAAAAGCAGTCCCTTTAATTCTGAAAATTTATTATTTGATTTTTTATTTGTATCTGTATCCAATTTATTGTGGAATTAAACATAATGGACAAGGAAAACCCACCACATTCTTAATGGTTGGACACAAGCATTTTCTAAATAGTTTTTAATAAACTTAAATAAGCGGTCTACATGACCTTTGGAACCATTTGCTACCGGACGGATATTTGCTGTGAAGAATTAGTCTTAACATCAACTGCTGAACAATGACTAACAAAAGGGAAGTGCAAACTGTTAACTCAAAATAAAATTATTATATTATATACAAAGGCATAGTGTGGTTTTACTTATATGCGCCTCACGATTTGCTTTAACATTAGAAGCCTTAAAAATTATTCCATTTCAGGTTTTCCAAATTATTCAGTTCACCCTGTCAATATTTTCATTAGCTTATCTTCAAGCTCTACTGACCTTTCACTCTCGCCAGCAAAATCGATTAATTGAGAAAATGATTCATCGCCTTGATGAAGCCTTCGATGAGGATACTCATCATACGCATGAAAATGAACTCAGCGAAGACGCCAATACACAAAGCAATGAAGAAGGAAATGGACTTGAGGAAGTTGGAGTAGTCGACAGTAATAAGCTTCTGCCTGTTTGAAATTTAACTATGCAAAGTCATAAATAATATATTTAGCATTTTTAAGAATAGAAAAAAAGTATTTATTTCAAACGGCAGACGTTTTGATAGTCATCAATAGCCATCTAGCTGACTTTGGACTTCACAGAGAGGAGGAGGAACATCAAAGTGACAAAAAGTCGAGAGGGGGGACAGAATAATAATTCTCAGATGTAACAGAGACAGACAAACAAAAAGGCAGCAAAAAGGTAGGATGAGTACTGTAGAAGGGGTTGAATATGGCATACAGTGGGGTGATGATAGTTTGAAGTCAGAAGTCAACTGCCGACTGATGGACTTTTTTGCCGTATGAGTATATGTTGCCCAGGGTGCACCACGTGGAGGTAAGTCTATCGCACACCCCAGAATAGTAAAAATAATACCAAATTATTGAAATTTGAATGCTAACTTAAAATTTAGCTAACTTTTTTTTAGCCGAACTAACGCTAGATGAATTGGTTTCGTGTTCTGATCTACAATGTGACAAATTATACTATCATAACTTGCAACTTAAATTTAATTTAAATTTGGCCCCTATAATCTCAGATTGAAAGAAAAAAGCTCTCCATGGTTAACATGGGCGGACCTAATTGGAAATTTGTCTTGAATATACCAATTAAAAAGGCCAGCGTCTTGAAAGATATGTTGTGCTTCAAACAGCGTTTTTCCCCATTATGTGATAACGGCTATGGTCTTATATAGACAATTTAGATTTAAATGCCAATTTCGGAAAATTGGATTCTTCGGATAAACCGATTAGCACCTCCTTGAAACCATTCCTTCTATGTTGGATTTCTTTCTACAATAGGGCACAGCAATGAATAGAAAACATTATATTTGCCTATTATTGGCAAATTAGCTGTGATAGATTTAAGACGCTAAGGGGAAACTAATTGGAGACGCTCAAACGGGCGATTCGTCAACTCGAATGGAAGCATAGTTGATTCCTCTGTGATTCAAAAGGAAAAGATACACAATCGTGTTGGAAGAGCGGGTCAATGTTGTCGTTTGAAAAGGTGTCTCGTTAAATGGACAACAATGATCGCGTATTTGCTATAAGGTATTTTAGAGTGGAGATCATATTAGAAAATTTTGTATTGCTTATCATTTTAGTCTACAATTTCGACACAAATTTTTCTTTCATAAAAACCTTATAATGGCATATAAGATGAAATTGTTTTGGTTGATTGCTGAATGGCTAGATTTCGATACCAATTATTTTTTAAGCAACTTCGTCTTTTAGAAAGACTTAAACAAACAGGGCTATATAATACACGCTGTATGTAAAGTTCGGCTAAAACGACATACATACATATATAGGTCCTCAAGAGACGCATAATGGAATGGAATCCTTTTCAATAGATGCAATCAGCGAATCACCATTAAGGAATCTCCATGGAAATGTAAGTAATGTTATCTTAACTATATATATAATATTTAGAATTACTAAATTTCCCATTTATTTAACCGAAAAGGACTCTTCAGGACCGACTGAAACAGAATCAATAGTTCAAGCATTTGTTGTGCCATCCAAAAGAAGGAAAAGACCAGGATCAATCGGCTGTATGTTTGGAAATAATTCGAAACGGGAAAAACGAGTGTCCATGCCATTCGCTCAGCACCCAATCGGAAGTAATCTCTATCTCAGATTAGGCGCAGTGGGTAAATTGTCCAATGATAAAATTTGATATTTTTTAGTTGTAATAACTCATGTACCTTCTAGTAATTCTATAAAAAACCTATTAAGGTATTGATTTTTGTGAAATATTTTGTGGGCTGTGCGAATATCGAGTTACTCATTTAGCTATTCTCATTCTATAACGACCGCCTCAACTCATAACATGGAAGATACCAGATCTGAGCAAAGCCTGCAACGTTTGCTATCAGTTATTTAAGTTCATTTTTTACCTTCTACTGAGAAATGTGCAGAGTTTCTGATGACTTACTACGACTCATGTATTTGATAGAGAAGGTGAAAATGATTTGATTTCACACGTAGGGAACACAGAGGTTAATATTTTAACTTGAAAATAGAAGGAATGGCTTATTTAATAATATTTCCTTAAACTTATATTTTTATAACAATCACTATTACTAGGTAGATTAGTGAGGTCAGCTTTGAACAGTAATCATTCTTGGAAATAATCAGATGAATGCGATGAAACTTCTGAGCAAAGCGGATCATCCACGAGAAAAAAAGGTTTGACAAGACCAAAAGTTCAATACGCTGAATAATAGGCGTTCTGGCTTGCATTCTGTGAGAAAGCACACTCCAGAGGTTAGTTAGACTGAATTTAACAAATAATAGGAATTTTCGGTTTGGGGTTCTTCTTTAAACGCGATATGATGTTTCTGCATGTTTTAAAGAAGGGAGTTAAATTGACTTCAATTGTCGACCTGAAATTTATGATTATGGTAGTACATAAGCTCTGGATAATGAAAGAGGCTGGGTAATAATAGGTCTTATGATGGTATCAGGATACGACGCCCTGCCACGCCTCAGACAAAGTCGCAAATGGTTGTTGTCCTACTTTTTGGTCTCCGAACTACCCAGATTTTTAATTGGTGGACTATTTCGTTTGTACTGGATGCTATCAAGAAAGGCACTAATCAACGTGCCAGTATTAAAAAAGCTTAATTTATTGAAAGAATGGAAATAATTTTTAAGAATCTTCTCAGATCAAGTGCTAGGTCGGCATGTTCTCGGTTTTTGGGCCAGAGTCAAATTAAGACTGCAATTGACGCTAATGGAGGTTATTTTAGGTTGACGTCTCTAACAATTATGCACCATCCATGTCCATTAATTTTATTTTAAATCGACCAACACTTACCTTCACTAAATATAAATATATTCTGGACGTAAAAACATATATGCAATGTGTCACCTCAATTTCAGATTTAGCTTCCACCAATATAAAGTCTCATGTCTATTGATTTATTATAATTATCACCTCATTTGTTATTCTTCCAAAACCCGAAGATCGGTATGTAGATAATTGAAACCTGTGGTCATAGTGCGGCTTGAAGATGCTTATGTTGAACTCAAAAAGTATTTTAAATCAACCTATTACTCTTAAGTGGGAGGTAAGCCAGAGAATAAGTAATGATATCTGAGTGGCCAACTTAATGCATATTTAGCACTTTTTTGTTGGAGAACAGAAGTCGCAGTTTCACATGTTAATTCGAGGACGGATAGTATCAGAGGAGTCGCCCGATCCATCATATTTAATCTAAACAGCACCATATTCCCCTGTTTTAGATTTCTAAGCAACGAAATAATTGAAAAAGCTAACATCTTCGTTTTTGTCCCATCCTCTTAGCCTTATTGCAAAAAAACTTATTACTTTGCCCGCTAAGGCACAATTAAAGCCGATGAAATTGGAAATTTTTTAATGGCATTACTAATATTTCTCTACTTATTGATAAATAAATTGACTATCAGCAAAACTACAGATAGTAATTTAATTAAATACAAATATTAATTTATAGGGAGTGTTAGCGTGGTTCAGAAAAAATGTAAGAGAAATATTTCGTGATATCATTTTTGTATAAAGAACATTTTTTTCAATAATAGCTCATTAGAAAGTAGCACTGCCTCCAATGAAAAGCTAATTTTCACAAGTCTAATGATAATTATATACCCGTTCTATTTCTCTACTATTTTAAATAAAGATTTGTTTTTTCCATAAGTTAGCTAATTCGTTAAATGGAATTGTCAGATTTGCTCATCACTAGTCATATAAAAGTGATTAGATGTCTTTAAAAGCAAATTTTATGGTTTGATTGACGAAGTATCTAGTTCTTTAAGTATGGGGTGGTCCACTATTGAATTCTTTGCAGATCAACTCAGTTAGTAAAATTGTATATTTTCTGGGGGTGAGGGGATTGAAGGCAACTGTGAATGGGTATTCTATGCAGATGGGTAAAGACCTTTCGTGAGAGACTTAACTTCCTGAAAACGTTCTATTTCAGTTCAGCAAAGGCATTCAGGACAGGGAGTTTTAGTGATCAATTTGATGTGAAATACGCATATTTCCAGGAAATCACTTCATTGATCCACTTTTTCTCATGGCAACGTGACCCCCAGCTAGCTAAATTTAAATATTCGCTTCAATAACAGTGACTCCCGATCTCCCTAAAGCGTTTGTGCGCAACAGTTGTCATTGAAAGAAAACAGAATATTCCATCTTTCGTGTTGACCAGAAATAAAAAAAAACTGTAGGAGACAAATTTTGCGATTGGTTCAGTGGCACATGCTGCCCAGAATAGTTTAGTAGGGGCATTTATTTTGGATGATATTACATAATTGATATTGATGCTGGCACAGTAAATGTCACAAGAACTTGTGTATCCTCGATGTGAACACCTAATTCAAACAAAGAATTTCGTCTAGATATTGATCTTTATATTTTTCAATGACAGTATTCGGATTTGGTGTCATGATCATGGACGGATTGCGAGCAGCGGACAAATTGGATGAAAGCAACCATGCTTACGGATGTCACAGCGTCCTTTGGATTCCAGTCAAACTTATCCATTCCTGCTACGTGTTCTGGCAAACCTATTTCATCTTTAAATTTCACCAAGTGAGAAGCTTCTTTTATTTCTTTAATCGATTAAAATTATCAATTTCTTAGCAAATTAAAATGTAATTGTGTGTTTGATTGTTAATAACAGATAATTATAATTATTTAATTAAAAGTAAATTATTAAGTGAATTCGAATGTTCACGAACCTACTTCATTCTATAAAGTTAAACGAATTCTTACATAGAAAATAGCCATATCGTTTAATAACTATTTATTCAACTTCTTGTTCATTATACTTCAATATGCATTTCAGGCCAAAATATTATTCTGTTTCTTTTGCGTTCCAGAAACTATAAAATGGTTAAAAGTGAAATTATTGGAATTAAAGGTGACACTAAGCTTATCACTCAATAGTATTTAAGTGGCAAGCGAATCGATAATTAAATAAAGAAAACTGTTATTTTGTAGTATAGATCTTTTGCATTTAAAATGGTTGACGATACATATTCTAACCAATTACTATTAGCAATGAATTTATGAATCATGTAGATGTAATAAAGCTATCACATTAACTCATTTTAGCATTAATATTAACCATTTGTTTATTTGGTTATTTGTTACAGATAATATTCAATGTTCAAAAATTCTTCGTCAGTTTCATTTTCTGTCACCTGACAGTAGTCAATATGGGTCAGTGGTTGAGTACGGTAGTTCAAGAAATTGTTTCAATGCGTGAAGATCCAGTTTTCTCAAGTACCAAAAGTGCAACAATGAATTCAACTAACATAACCTCACCTGCTTCTGTTAATGTCACTGCCAAAACTCGTGAGTGTCTACTTAAATACTATTAGTAGAGGTTATATACTTATACACTTGTAAAAGTCGAAATTATTTTGGTACATTTTCCTTCGAAAGTAAATGTTAGATGCAAAAAATTACGGATTTTGACGATTGTTTTAAGTAATCATATTATTATGTGTTGGTGTATTATTTATTAGGTTATTTTTTTGATTTCTATTTTTTTCGCGAGCGTTTCTTAGGGTCCGATTTTCCACTTTGATTACTCAGGTTAGATATTTAATAACATTTTAGTTCCTTTAAGATATTTGTGGTGTTTTTAAGAGTTAATTGTACACCTTCAAGAATGAATAGTAATATCAGTAATATCAAAACTCAATCAGGTTTTTTTTGATAACCACTTGAAATTGCACCCAATACTACCCAGATTAACGTCTTCCAATGGACTCCATTCTTGAAGAAGTAGTAGCCTTCATGATGAGAAGCCTGAAATACGAAACCTCTTAGCCTGATGTAATCGGTATGAGTGACCACTCCCACCAATAGGCACAGGTTGCGCCGTACAACAGCGCATACTAAGTAATGCGCTTCTGTGTCTTTGCCACATTTTTTTTCATTCAGCTTACTTGGCGCCGTTGACAAAATTAACTGAAAATTATAACTAAGTTAAATGGTGCAACAGTAACTATTCGCCATATCGTCTAGGTGAGAATTACGCATCCTTCTCAGGAAAGCAGATTTATATGTAGTTTTAATTGCTTAACGTTCCAATATTTGCGGTGACTAGTGAGACGCAATCTTATGGTTAGACCTATTAAGTGAGATATTTCTTTACAACATAAGTAAATGTTCTAATATGTAGCTATAATGATAAACAGGATGACTATGAAAATAAACAATTTTAAATAAAATTGAATGTATTTTTCACATAATCAAAACACCAATAATATGAAGAGTTAACTCAACTCTCTTTTGAACTGGAAGAGGAATGCAGTAGTGCTATAAATACGTACAAATTTTGCAGCCAAACTCAATACCAAATTGTAAATAGTGTTGACATAATTTGGAAAGAACGATTTGTTGGCTTTCTCACAGAAAGCAAAACATGCACAACCACTTTGGGCAACAATTTTGCTTCTTTTTGCCACAAACGGAGCAGGAGAAAGTGAAATGCTTTCTTAGGAAAAGCAAATGAAGGAGATATATAAGCGGAGTTTGAACGGGTTTTCAATCATGTTCGTTTCATCTATTTTATGCATATTCACGCTTCCAAGGTTTTTCACAAAACTTTTAAATCGTATCTAATGAAATGTACCGAGGACTTCTAGTTGCATTGGTTATAATATTCACTTCAGCCTTGACAAAATCTCAATTCTATCTCAAGATGAATGGTAAAAATACAAACATATATATATATATATATATATATATGACGGTTCTATGATCTATCTATTCTTAGCAAAAGTCTATCCCAATGGGTAAATTAACTTTTTCTTAGTCAATGACCTGACTTGGACAAGTAGCTAGAGTCTTAACTGATGTTTTCAGAGCAACTGGTTTTAGCAAACATTTCTTTTCCCATTGATGTCCTAAGGACATTTGCTTGAATCATTGTCATGAACAAATAAATTCCACTGGTAAAATGCGTTGAATCAATAAAATTTTATATGCATGTTTCTTAAGCGAGATATTTATCAACTTTACCTCCATCCATTCATATGTATTATTGGATTAGATATGGCCCATGATATGACCTTTATGTGAGCAAAGAGGCTGACTAAAGGACAACATGGTAGCACGCCACAGATTATATTAGCCAATTTAATCATAATCGCGAGTGGTAACGACGGTTTATTTTGCTTTAAAGAAATTTATATTTAATAGTAAAAAAATAATAATTTTGAAAGCATTATCTCCATCACCTTCTAGCTCAATGCCTTTCACAAGTTTCGAATTTCGCGCATTACCTAATTCCTTGTGGCGTTGAGTACAGTTTGATAGCCATGGCAATTTTCTACAAAATGCTTCAGCGCATTGGAAATGTGCATCATGCAGTAAAGAGTCCGCGTAGACAAACTGCCGTCTCGTCCACAGACGAAGCTATTCAATTCCTCAATCGTCGGAAAACCCTCTATCCGCTTTTAGGTGATATCAAAAAACTTCATTGGTAAATCATCAAGATTAAATCCTATTAAATGCAAGTCATTTCAATATGAAATATGCTATGATAATGTTGCTTGAGTCAACACTCTGCTTTGGCAAATGAGAGGCGTCTTTTGACATTCACCCGAAGTCAAGTTGAAGCAGATCAGCTTGATGAAGTCTAGTTAGACGCTAGCTTATGCTAAGCCCTACAACTCCGGCTTTTTATACTTATAGTACATGGAGTGTCATTGCTGTTTAGATGTTAACATATTAATTACAGAATAATAAATTTTGGCTATCACAGAACGCGAGTATTACGAAAAAATATACAGTTGGGAACAACTATTCTACTCTCTGTCAGAATATAATACTTAGCATTTTCGCATACATTCATCTGAATAAAACCTGCGTCTAGTCTTTCAACAACTTAAGCCCTCTCTCTTAAAGAAGGCTGGTTTTTTTGCTTAAAGAAAATTAAACTTTTTATTGAAGAGAGTAGGTATTTTGAAGGTATTCACCTAATTGTTATAAGTTGTTGTAAAAGGAACTAATATCGTTTTCACGGTTCTAATAACCAATCAGATGTCAATAAAGCCGTTATCCGTGAAGGATAGAGTGTTCTAGGTAGCAAAATTGGATTCGGTTATTGAAATGAATGCTGTTAAGACGATCTGTGAATTTGTTCCAAAAGATAATGCAATAGTAGTATTAACAGCAGTGCATTTAAGATAATACATAAACAAGAAGTTTAACTGAAACATCGAATTTATCGCACTTCTCTCTCTGTATCAACTCGGCCCAACGTTTGGTATTGGTTGAGGTTTGTTTCCCATGCAGGACAAAGGAGTCTCATTGTCAACGTGCCCACAAGGGTCTCTTCTTTGGACTTCTTCTTATAATGGCAACAATAGTGGCTCTATCACTCTTCTACACTTATCTCCAACAGCATAATCACCAAGAGGCCTTGATTCTTTATGAACTCACGGACATCACTCTCCTCATAATCGGCGTCTTGACAACAGCCATGGGACTTTTCCAACTTCGTGGTTTGCGCAAGATGTGTCTATTGGAAGGCGATACATTTGATGTCAATTTACTCATGATCGGACTCGTGGGAATGCTGTTCTATGACATGTTTCTACTAGTTCCTGCAGCTGAAATGGTTCATCACTCAACGGAAATTGGACTGTTCGTTGGAAAAGCAGTGATGGAAATATCTCAGGCACTATTTCAGGTTTGTTTGATATATATGTATATGCTTTAAAATAAGCTTCTCATTACACGGTGTTCACCAAATTTATAAATGGCATGGATGATTAATAAAGCTTGATATCTACAAATTTAACATTACCAATTATACATTTTAACTATAATTTTTATGTATATACATGATACTCAGTGCCTCGTTAGCAAAACAGCTCAGGATTTGAGAAAGAGGAAAATTTTTATATATATTTACTTATCATTTGGAAGTTGAGACTTGTTTAACTGCAGGAAATAATTTGAATAAGCGGATATTTTGCCCTATTTTGTCAATTAGCGGCCAGTAGCTTACCCTGCCGAATGGGAACTTGGGCGACTGAGTAGTATGCAAAGTCATAATTAAATTAATTTCAATCTAGAGGAATAAGAGAATCGTGGAAATATCTGTTCAAATCATTATCACGCCCAAAATCATAAACACATCACGAATGTGGGATTCAACAGGCGAGTTATTGTAGAAATAAATATACTCACAACCACGGTTAGTTCCTGCGAATAATTAATTCATATGACAGTTTGCAGAAAAATAAACAAAAAAAATAAGTAAAATGTCGTGCATCCTAAATTAGCTTTCTTGTTTATTGCATTTGAATAACACTTTGAGAACAAACTCACATGATAAATTTTGAAAATCGAAATAAGAAAAATATGTCAGAATTTGGCTTTTCTTCTAATATTCTAAATTTTTGAAAGTGGTAAACATGTTGGAAAGGAAGAAAGTGGCGTAATTGGCCCCAATTTAATTATTTATTTTACAAAATTACTCTAAAATCCAGTCAATTTCAAATCTTTGTTTAAATGTCCTTTGCAACTCGCGTCTATTCATCTATTTGTTTTACTCTCAATTAACAGGTATTCCTAATATTGGAGACATCAAGACGTCGGGCTGCCGACTCAAATCAAGTATCCAAGAAACCGGGCAGAGCAGTTATCACTTTTCTACTCATTCTCAATTTGGCAATGTGGATTGTGAATGTGTTCGAGTTGAAACACGCCGAAAATCATCCAGTCCATCGAGCGTACTATTCACCCATCGTTTGGAAGATAATCACCAGACTCTCCTTGCCTCTCCTTATCTTCTTCCGATTTCATTCATCTATTTGTTTAGCTGATGCTTGGACAAATATGTACCAAATCAAATGAACCCTTTGTAAAAAAAATGTTGGGAAGTTCATACTTCACTTTGCCTTTCAATATATTGTTAATAACGATATAATCAATAAAAAACTTTCAAATTCAAGATGCCTTGTCCATTTCAAAGATACTATGTGCTTAATTCAGTCCCTTTTTATGAGTTCAAGTGACCTAAAATGTTCAAATCTAATAGATACTAAGGGCATAGTTGTATATCACGTCCAATTAATGATCAATATTTAGTTATTAGACTCAGAGCGGTTCCCTCCACTTTATACTCTCATTTTGGTCATCCAAAGTAATCAGCCCTTCTCAATTTTCACTAAATTATGCCGTTTATTTCTATATCCTACTCTTCCGTCAGTCAATGGTAAATCGATCAAGACACGATTACGTAGGACCAATTGCCCTATAGGTTTAATAACAGATACATTGACCTGAATGATCAGGTACACTATGCATTATAGGTTAGTTTAGGACGCCAATGAATATGAAATTTCAGCCAATGTTCACTCTAAACTTGTTCGGTACGTTAAATCTTTGATAAAAATTATTTGGGAAGTTAGTTTCCTCATTTTGCCTAGACTGCAGTCAAAAGCATTTCCAATTTATGAATAAAAGAGCGTATTCACTTTCTTTACTTAGACTTATAGCGTATAGGGTGGGAAATGCACACCAAGAGATTGGAACTGAGGGATTCATGGAATAAAGCAAGTTGTATTAGCTGAATGTTGGCTTCAAAATAGACGTCAGCAGAATGAGAAGGGCCGGGATTGTCTGAACATAAAGTAATTAATTGGGAAGGGGGTTTGAGGGGGGGGGCGGGGGGGGGGGAGGGCGGAGGGGGGGGGTGGGCGTAG